TTTAAAAAGGTCTCGTGCAGCAGGTTTGCCTAATGCAATTCAGCTTCTGATTTCTTGACTATTGCTTCCATGAGTGTTGATGGTAGGATCCTAGAAGAATGAAGTCCCTGACAACTTCATTTTTTTCTCCGTTGATAACAATGTTGTTTATTGGTCCAGTGGTGAGGATTTTTGTTGTCTTCACAGTGAGACACAACTCATAATGAAAGCTGTGGTCTTTGATCTTCATCAGTAAGTATTTTAAGTCCTCTTCACTTACACCCAATTAAATGCTATATAGGCAAACCAAAAATTTAAAACAGTACTTATCTAGTTGATTCTGACTCATGACAGCACCATGTATGTCAGAATAGAACCATTAGTTCTCCATAGAGAACTCCATAAGAGTTTTCAATGACTGATCTTTCAGAATGAGATTACTAAACTTTTTTCTTTTTTCCAAGGTGCCTTTGTATTAATTTAAACTGCCAAGTTTGTGGTTAGTAGCCAAGTTCATTAACTATTTGTAATGAGCAGGGATGCCTCGATTTAAGCAAGAGATATCCTTGTGTGTTTAAAGCAAAGAACACCACACTGATTCCTGGTAGCAATGCTGACATCTTTCCCAGTAGTTTGGGAAAACTGCAACCTTAGGAAGAGAGGCATTGTTAGGTTGTTGTCAGGTGCTGTTAGTTCTGACCCATAGCAACACTCTGCACAACAGAATGAAACACTGTTTGGTCCTGTGCTTTCCTCACAGTTGTTGTTAGGATTGACCAATTACCTCACAATCATTGTTAGGATTGAGCCAATTATTGCTGCCACTGTGTCAATCCATCTCCTTGGGGGTCTTCCTCTTTTTCACTGGTGCTCTACTTTACCAAGCATAATGTCCTTATCTATGTATTGGACCCTCCTAATAATGTCTGAAGCATGAATGATGAAGTCTCTCCATCCTGGCTTCTAAGATGCATTCTGGTTGTACTTTTTCCAACACAGATTGGTTTGTTTTTCAGGCAGTCCATGGTACTTTTAATATTCTTTTAACACCAGAACTCAAATGGATCAATTCCTGTACAGTCTTTATTATTCATTATCAAACTTTCACATGAATATGAAGTTACTGAAAAGACCATGGCTTGGGCCAGGTGCACCTTAGTCCTCAAATTGGTATCCTTGCTCTTGAGCACTTTAAAGAGGTCTTGTGCAGCAGATTTGTCTAATGCAATATACAGTTTGATTTCTTGACTGCTGTTTCCATGAGTATTGATAGTGGACCCAGGCAAAATGAAGTCTTCAACAACATCAATCTTTTCTTCATGATGTTATTTATTGGTTCAGTGGTGAGGATTTTTGTTTTTACTTTGAAGAGCAACCTAAATTGAAAGCTATAGCCTTTTCATCTTTATCAGTAAGTATTTTAAGTCCTCTTCAATTTCAGTAAGCAAGGTTTTATTATCTGGATACTGCAAGTTCTTAATGAGTCTTCTTCCAATTCTGATGCCACATTCTTCTTCATAACATCAAGCTTCTTAGATTATTTGCTCAGCATACAGATTGTGTGGTGAAAAAATACAACTCTGGTGTACATTTTTCCTAAATTTAAACTTTTCAGTGCCCCCTTGTTCTATTCAAACAGCTGCCTCTTGGTCTCTGTACAGGTTCCTCATAAATACAATTAAGTATTCTGGAATACTCAAAATAATATGTCTTATTAACCTTGTTGACTACCACTCATCT